TAAATGATTCTCTGTTTTGTAAAGAGCATTGATGTAAAAATCTTTGGACAAGGAGCTTGGATTATCAATGAGCATTGGTAGCATGTATATCAGGTTTGGAAAATTTTGGTGAACCAACTTATTGAAGCAACACAATCGTAAAAAACACTTGCAGTCTTTGATGTCTTCATGTCTCTTGCTCAATCAAAGACACTTCAACAGTAAGTTTATTAAAGTAATGCTAACGGCTAATGCTGCTGTCTGGCCTGGTTTGGCTTCAAAGAACTGAGAGTGATGTCATTATGATCAGTTCATTTTCTAATCAAATTAGAACCAAAACCTGTTAAAGTGTATCATCAAATCTTCAGAGGTTGAAATTAAGCAGCTCTTCGGAAAAGCAGTTTAATGTGAAATTAACTGAACTTCTCTCCCCGTTTTCATACCGAGAATGTTCCCTGACTTTAATGGAGACATTTCAACCTTTCAATTTACGGATGATTGATCTCAATTGTCACACCCATTAATTACAAATAAACCAACACTTTGAGCGTAAAAACACTTGATTTCCTGCATTCTCCATCAATTTATGGAAAACACGACGGTGCCAAGTGACAGTTCAAAATATAACGGAATGTAATGCAGCGAATCACCGAGTCAGACACCTTGAGAAATCTACATTTTACGCGTGGAAATCCTGCTCTGGGAGAACTTTTCAAAGAAAAAGAGTCTAAAGAAGGAAACATTTATTTAAAAAATAACTGAGATCCAAATGCAAACAGGAGATCTGTATTTCTAAAGAGAAGTATATGTGCATCATTCAGTTGTTTCTCTTATTTTACTATCAGTTGAACTCTGGCTGTGATTGCGTCTTCATTGCCCCAGCGCAGAAATGAATCCTGGGAGTTTCCAGAACTGCCATTCAACTGCTGAACTGAACATCTGTCCCAATCATCATGTAGTCCTAGAGAAGAGCACAGCAACAGGTTAATAACAGCTCTGAGATTATGAATTCTGTTCAACTAGATATTTAAAGAAGCTTTCTTCCAAGTCCTTGGCCCTCATTAAAACCCTTTTCATATGATACATGCAGCTCACTCAAACACAGGCAGCTTTATAAAGAAACATGCAGACTCTGACCTTCAGGACCTGAAGCTGAGTGTTCACGAGCTTCATCTTTCCAAGTGTAGGAAGTGGGTATCCCTTTGCAAGTTCAACTGCGAAGCAAAGTGTCACACGTTTAGATAAACTAGTCACAAAAATAGATTGAATTAAAATAGTTTGAATTATACAGTGCAAAACATGCATTTAATGAATGTGCTTGACATAAAAAGATCATAATTAAACAAATAAAAGAAGTACAACAGGAGATTAAAATTAACTTGGGTTAAGGAAAATTAATTATAAATAGTTCAGTATGGTAACAGTGAAAATAAAAATAAAGACAGTAGCAATGTGCAATGATGTCAAATAAATATCCTGTTAATAAATACAAAGTTGTTTAAAAAGGGGCAACCAGGTTAGCCTTTCTGGCTTTAGTTGATCTAATTCATATACTGTAGAGACGGAAATGTAAATGGAAGAACTCACCGTTCAGTTTTGGTATCACAATCACTTTGAGGACCAATTGGAAGATGCTGTCGAGCGCTATGACCTGCGGGTTAGGGTTCGGGTTAGTTTGTCATGCTGGTGCTGACTGTGCACTCTGTGACTCGTGTTAAAATGCAGTTCTCACCTGAAAGTCTCCCACATGGCTTGTCCTCAGGGTCAGATCCATTCTATGCAAATTAGGTAAAATTAGACTGTGATTTTCATCTTTACAAGGACCTTTTGGCCCCCCCCATTTTTTCCTCTGACGTAGTAACTCACTTGTTTAGGGTGACCGCTCCGGCCAGCCTCATTCCACTGACAAACAGTCGGGCGCTGACGCTGCTCTCCTGTAAAGACGAGGTGAGAGTTACAAATTTTGGCACACACAAATAGCTTTTTCCCCCTCTATCATGCCAGCTGGGTGACCTACCAAGTTTAGGACAAAGAGAGGGGAGAGTATGGCGTTGGGTTGGATAGCGTAGGCCGTCACTGTGCACGTGGCCTGCACCGTGGCGTTGTTGGGTTCAAATGTGGTCACTGGGTTTTCCTCTGTCTTCACCAGCAGCTTCATCATCAGACCCGGGAAACGCTTGGCGATCTGAAAAACACAGCGATACACGGCTGACAAACTGCCAATAGGTGACCATGCCTCCTTTAGCTGATGAGAGTCAGCGGAACGAGTTTCGTCACCTGCGGGATGAAGGCGCCGAACGTTGTGGTGTCGAGTCGGATGAGCGAGCCTTGTGGGATCTGTCGTGACGGAAAGGTTGGAGTTCAGTGTCACCTCGTGAAAAGGTGGATAGATGATGGAATTGAGAAGCTCACCATGTCATTGGTGATGTACAGGCTGAGGGCTCCGGCTGTGTTGTAGACGAAGGCCGCAGAGTTGGCGGTGAAGGCGGACAAGCCGATGTACAACATCTTGTTGGTCTGCGGCGGCAGGGAAAAGGCCGCGGGGGAGAACGGAGGCTCCTGGTGCTTCCTAATGTTGTAAAATTCACCCTAAGTGACAAAAGACACAGCGGAGACAGAAGGGTTGGGAGGTGGCCATGATTGTCCATTTCTTCAGATATATATCATTTTCAGTGTAATGATAGACATTTCTTTACCTTCATGCCCAATTCTATGGAGGATGTTGACACTGTGGGCGATGATGCCATGGAGTATTCAATCTCCGCGAACTGGTCCACCTTGGCTACAACTGCAGTAAGGTAGAATGTCTCTCATACACTCTCAGCATCAATGAAACATCCAAATGTTTGACATAGATGTATATATATTTTTACCATTGAGAGTTTTCAACTGAGGGTTCAAATCAGATACTGCCTTGGTCACAAGGGGGCAGATCTGCAACAAAAAACGACATTCCAGAATCCAAAAGAACCTTACGCTGCCCCCCCAAAACCCAACTGGTATCCAAGAGCAAGGTGAACCAAGAGCTGAGGGGTAACCTCCTCATGTGTGCTGATGTCTAACTTTGTCTAATGTTAATTCATTTAGACAAGAGTGATTGAATACTCTGACTGACTGTGACACAGACTTATTTTCTGTCGGATCTGAAAGATTTGCAGGTTTTTTTGCACTCTGAGTACTGAGGAGTAGTTGAACTTGTAATACAGTATTTTACACTATTTTGTTGCAGTAAAGGAAGTGAATATTACTTCCTCAGCAAAAGTTGTTCCCAGCAGCTCTGTGATCTAGTCTGAAGAGGGAACTCTTATGAATTATCAGCTGCTTTTAGGAGGACAACCGGATGCTTTGTGACGATCTAAAGCAGCAGGTATACGGCTGGTTTCCCCTCACCTGTTTCTGCAGGGCGTTTCGTAAAGCCTTATCGATGAATTTTTTGAAGAGATTGTACAGCCAGCTGAAACACAGACACATCACAGGAATGAGGGCAGTATGTCAAGCATTAAAAAGGAAACCTCACAGTCCTTTCCCTCGCACGGGTTCAAACACAGCGGGGTTTCGTTTACCTGGCTCCGCCGCGGAATTTGACGCTCGCTCTGCCGACGGTGGCTGCGCAGTTGACAGTGCTGACCGCAGGATGGCCTGTCTCGTCGCTGTTGATGGCGATGCTCATAGTGATGGTGAGATCACTGACGCTCAAATCGAAAGAGCCGCTGTCCTTTCTGTTAAGAGAGAGGCGTCACCGCTGCAGCAGAAATATCACAGAAAATGGATTTAACTGAGCTGTATAATAATTAGGACTTTTTGTTTTCCCCAACTCACATTATGCGGAGGTACTTGACCCTCCAGTTTCCGTGCAGACGGAGGAAGGCCTGACCGATGGACAGTCTGACCCCCGTTCCTGGCACCAGATCCAGCGCGGACGTTGGCAAACCCACCTCCACTATTTGCAAACTGGAAGAGACGACATGCGCGTTTGTGAAGTATCCCGGTTTCCTACAGAATTGACTGGAGTGTTGAATAAACTGGCGCCTTACTTCGTCAGGCTGTACCGGACCTTGCCAATGGGAGACACCTTCTGGGTCCCTGAAATATCTGGCACTTTGATGGTTTTCAGTTTCTTCTGGATGGAAGCCATCCCCAGTTGTCTGCCTAGCAAAAAGGCAAGTGAATGTGATGGTGAGATGCTGGAGAGATCAGAGCTTTCCAACTGACGGAGGAAGCGTGCCTCAAACCTTAAACCTCAAACCTTAAACCTCAAACCTTACCATATTCAAGGCCTTTTGCGGTTAGCTTGACCTTCACCCCAGGATTGGTGCTTAGGGTCACAGGGATTAAAGCCACCAGAGTCAGCCAACAGCAGAGGAACATCTTGACTGTTGGGAGATAAAACAGACAAGATCATGAGCTAATCTCCACATTTTTTTTATTAACATGACACCATAAGCCAGGCTGTAGTTCTGCTTTTCGGTGGTTGTGGTTTGTGATTCCTGAAATCGATGGCTTCCTCTTTCAGAGGAGTGCCTTGTCTTTTTATTACATGTTACTGGTTTCTTCCCTTTTATCGAAGACGATCATTTGTTTGTCAGCATTTAAAGAGTGAAAATATGAAAACCTGTAGAGCCACAGTACAAATCCACATACAAGTACATTTGGTTATCTACCAATCCACAAAACTATGAACTAAAACGACCCAGCGATTCAGGTTTGGCTCTCCTTCCTGTGTCACATGCAAACTCAATCACAGCAGACTGGGCTTTATTTGGGAGGAGGGTTTGAAGAGACGGAGCGTTTCAGGGTACATGCAGGTATATTCAGACGTACAGAATCGGGAAAAATAATGTTTTTTGAACAATAAAGAGTACAAACGTGTTCTAGTAGAAACCCAGAATATAAGAATCTCAAAATGACCACGATACGTCCCCTTTAACAGCATCTTCTCGTCTTTATTTTAAAATCTTAATTTAAAAAGTAACTCCACTGCAAGTAAATGTCATGGAATAGAACAATATTCCCCTCCGTAATGTAGTGGGGTAGAAGTATCAAGTGGCATAAAAATACTTTCCCCTGCAGCCTCTGCCTCAGTGGAGGCTGTGAAAGAGCTGACTGTCAGTGCTGCAGAAGAAACCACATGACTCCTGATAAGTCAGCAGGCGAGCTGGACCTTTATTAAATCAGGCCTAGTCCTAGTACTTTTGTCCACTTTGAATATCCATATTTGAATCATGCTTTACATGATGAAAAATGCAGTTTTGGAGCATTCAGGTCTTTGCGTGTCCAGATAAGATTGCAATATTGCTGTGTCAGCAAATGCCACGGCTGTCACATGCTGTGTTCCCACGATCAAGAGCTCCAGCGGATGTTCAGGAATGCAAACAGTCTAAACAGTTACACACAGTGCTTTTATCTGGTTGACGTTGCCATAACGTTATTATGTTGCAGGTTCGAACGACAGATTTTTGTCTCTGAGCACGTTTAAGAGCCGACAGATATAGTCAGAGTGCACTGACAAAATGTAAGACATGTGACTACCAGTGGACGGCTCTCTTAATGAAGTTTCCATGTGGGTCAGAAGTATAGCAGAGGAAGAAAGTGCGCTTTCAACAACAAAACTGTAAAAACTAATTTAAAAAAAAGCTGCCTATCAAAGAGAAATAATAGATAATTCCCAAAACACTATCAACACCTGCATCTTTCTTAATCTGCTTAACATGCTCTTTGATGAATACGCAATCGAGGCAGAGGAGGAGAATCCCATCCTTTCCATCAAACAAATCATAATCAATAGGACACTTTAGGGCAGTTTATTCCCACTGGAATCTCCCCTTGTTAAGAACATTTCCATCAAGGGTTCCTTCACACATTGGGCTAAATCTCATATGAAAGATTAAGCTTTGAGAACAAATTTAAGAAACTCTGCAGCCTATGTACCTTTTACTCCATAAACAGTGAATACACACCCTTCTCTTACCTGAAGCAACAGTTTGTCAGGTTTCTTCCGATGTGTCAGTCGCGCTGTCAACAAGGCAGAGTGAAAGAGGAAGGGAGGCACATTGCCTGTAATTAACTTACTTAATGAGGAACTGAGCTTGGGGGACTAACCCAGATAAAGCAACAATAAGCAGTTATTGCTTCACCATCCTGCTCTCTAACAGTGATTTTATCCGAGTGTCGTTTGCATTAAAAAACAATCTCTGAAGGGCTCAGTTCTAAAACGTTGACGTGGTTTGGAGCAGCTTTTTGTCATGTTCGTCTCCTGTTGCTTTCTAGTTCCTTGTGTCAATTTCCAGTAAAGTAATGAACAAGAAACTAAGCACATAAAAGGAAAATATGTCCCTCAAGCCACTCGGTGCAAATAACACATTCTTCTGCTGCTGTTTAACTGTGTCGCAGAATGAAATGATCTTTCTCGTATTGAGAGTAAAAGTCCGCAGTGTTCAGAATTTTACAATTTTCCTCTGTCAATGTTTGCCATCATAATGAAAAACAAAAGCATGCTCTCCTAACAAGGGCAGAGCAGGGTTTGCTCATGTATCATAGAGTATGATACACAATTTATTGTTGGGTTTTTCTCAGGTGGCAAACCTCCAGTTCAGCCAATGCTGAAGTGCCTTAAACCTGCATTCTTTCTAATGTCCAGCAGGGGGCGACTCCTCTGGTTGCAAAAAGAAGTCTTATTGTATAGAAGTCTATGAGAAAATGACTTCTCTCTTGATTTATTACCTCCGTAAACATTGTAAACATAAGTTTATGGTCTCAGTCTCTAGTTTCAAGTCTTCTTCAACACAGCATGATGTTCATTTAGTCAATTATATAGACGATTGATGAAAAGCAGGGTATGCTTTAGGGCGTGGCTACCTATGAAGGCAAATCACTGTCAAAATCCGAGAGCGCAAATGAGATCCATGCGCGCGCAAAAATCAAACAGCCGCGCACGTATTTTACTTTGACGAGCGCTTTTACGTCACTCCGCGAGCAAAATTCCGTCTCGTGCGAGCAAAAGTCGCTCGCGAAGCTTAAACCTGCTCGCTCGCGAGTAGTTTTTCTTTTTGACAGTAAGTGGGCGGACCCAGTCTCCATTGTATCTCTACATCTAATTGGTTTCAATCCTCGTCTTTGGATAGACCGGATATCACTCTGACACAGACGCTCGGGGGAGATTTTCAGATTGCAGGTCAGCGGCAAATAATGTACATTTTACTGCACGGGTACTTTTACTTTCTGCACTTAAAGTAGATTTTGCTGATAATAACATTGACTAAGGTTTTGAATGCAGGTATTTTACTCGTAGTAGGTTATTGTTTCATCAGTATGATATTAGTACGTTTACTGCAGTGAAGGATCTGAATACTTTTTCATCCACTTATTACTTGTCAGTGATTTAACAGTTAATATACAAACAGTGGTCCCTAATCTTGGCTCCAGATCTTTGAGCAGGTCCAAATTGTTGCTCATATTATATACAACTATATTATATCTCTTCTGTAAACACACTATGATTAAATATGATCACATCATGTTTTAATCAATTAAGATCAAAGAGTTTCTTTGAGCTGTTTGTCACAAGAGGTTTGAGTATCAAACACACATTGTCTGTAATAGAATGATGGAGTGAATTCAAACCAATCTGAGCAACTTGACTTTAGCACATTTTTAATTATTGTATTTAACAACTCTATTATCATAATTTGTATTTCATCAGCCTCTACAGTCTGAAAAGTTTACAAAACCTGTCAGACAAATGTAGAACATCTTGAGATGTAGTAGAGTAGTGTTTAGTGGCGGGTTGAAAACCACCTCTATCAGAACTAGCGTCTGCGTCAGAGTGATATCCGGTCTATTCCAAGACGAGGATGGAAACCAATTAGATGTAGAGATACAATGGAGACTGGGTCCGCCCACTTACTGTCAAAAAGAAAAACTACTCGCGAGCGAGCAGGTTAAAGTTTCGCGAGCGAGCGAGACGGAATTTTGCTCGCGGAGTGACGTAAAAGCACTCGTCACAGTGTTTGATTTTCGCGTGCGCATGGATCTCATTTGCGCTCTCGGATTTTGACAGTGATTTGCCTTCATAGCTACCTTGTGATTGACAGATTGCTACCACAGCTTCACTCCTCCGCAGTCCAAATATGATCACTTCCTTTCAATGGTTGCAAAAAATCGAGACGGCGACGACGGCCAAAATGACGAACTCAAAGCTTCAGAACCGTTTCCACAAATCAATGGGTGACGTCACGACGACTACGTCCACTTCTTATACACAGTCTGTGGTTTTACCATCAGTTTAGAGCTGTACCTTCTTGTAAATGATTCTCTGTTTTGTAAAGAGCATTGATGTAAAAATCTTTGGTTGAAAGCGTGTGCCCTGAGTACGAGGCAAGATAAATGATGAGAACAGCTGATATGACGACTGACAGCCCCAAACGATGACCGGAAGGAGAATGTGTGAGAAATAGACTCCAGGCCTAAGCATGTAGGAGAATAGTCACCCGGACTAAATCTACGCTGGAGCTTTATTTGGACAAGGAGCTTGGATTATCAATGAGCATTGGTATCATGTAGGATATCAGGTTTGGCAAATTTTGGTGAACCAACTTATTGAAGCAACACAATCATAAAACCACTTGCAGTCATTGTCATCTTCATGTCCGGCGCCAAGTGACAGTTCAAAATATAACTAAATGTAATGCAGCAAGGCTCTCAGGCATTCTGTATTGTTTTCAAATATTTAATCGTTATGTTATTGACACTCGTGGTCAGATGTGGAGCTCACCATGGAAATCCAAGATAACATCAAATAGCAATAAATAATGGCACAACCGCCTGTTCGCTCCAATGATTACTGTTACCTCCTGTGGTGCACTCCTGCCCCCCTGAGGCTGAAGGCAGTACGGCACCTACTTCATACAAATCCAGGACGTCAAATACGGCTTGACTCAGCAGAGGAAAGCCCCTTTAATACCACACTGTTTCTAATTCAGTATGTTGTTAGGGGGGGGGGGGAAACAAATAAGCAAAGCCGAATGCCTCTTGATATTTTGGATTGTGTTCCCTCGGGGGCCTTCACACTCTTCTTAAAACAAAGATTCTTTCATCTGGATAACCCTTACCATGAGGACTGTGAAGTGCCTTTTTTTCACCACCAGAATTACATTAGTGGTTGCCAGTGAAGTCATACTCATGTCTCAGTATTATGTAGATATTTCTAAGCTGAAAACAGTAACGGGTTGTTCAATCTAATTGAAGGACATTTTTGAAAGTCTGCTCTTTTGGACTGTAAGAAAAATATGGTGCACCTTTTTTATTTCACAGTTTGTGGGTTGTAAGGCACTCCCGATACCCAACTGTATGCAAACAAGTACTGAAAAATTGAGTTTATCAAGATATGTCCCCTTTAATAATGATTATCATGTTATGAAAAAGCAAAACTACAAAAATGATTGTCAATAAGAATGACTATTTTCAAAGTGCAATACAGCAACATGTGATATCAAAGCGTGGAAAGTAGAGCAGCCGAGCACACAAGGACTGAGCTGCTTTATGGGCTCAGCGTGTGATGAATGTTTTATACTCGCATACTGTATAGTCCTATACATAATATAGGGCTGAGCAGGCACTGGAAGAAAACTCATTAAATACCTGTTTGCTTTGTTCTCCAGTTAAAATATTGACATACATCAGTAAGAGGGGGGGAAAAAGATGATTTTTGCTTTTTTAGAAATCAATATATTCAAATAATAAGTAAACAAGTGGGTTTTTAGAGTGGAGCATACTTGTGTCCGTGCTGCCCGACCAGCTGAAAATATTATAAAAGGAAATATTGACAACGGTTCCTTTGGCTATGAGGAAGGTGAGAACTCATTCTTACTTGTTTTTGTTTAAATTTCCATGAACTCTTGTAACTTAAGAGTAAAACCAAGGACATTTTGAAATTTTAAATGCTGCGGCAGTCAAGTAATGCGATGACACAGATGGCCTAAGCACCCTGTGGTCAGACTGTGGGCTGATTCATTTCTCTTTCCTTGAGGACGGAAGAGCCTCAAGGACATGCTACCACTTATTTCAAGACAGCAACGCAAGCACCCTGTCCGTCTGTGCTGGAGTGTTTTCAGACTACAAGGTGAGGTCGCCAGTTAGTGTTTGACTGTATAACCCGTATAAAGTCTAATGCACTGCAAGAATCAAAGGGTAGAGGTTAACTCTGGGAAATGGTTAAATTAGCGTTTTTCCAGTTGCATGTCTCCTTTGGTAGCCTCTTACAATAATGACTTTAAATGGCAGCGGGAATTAATTTGAACTGTGTCATGAAATGATGCAGCGGGGCGTCAGTAAAACGCACACAGCATGCTCATGCTCATTACCACCCAGGTCTTTGATGGCTCTACACACCAAAAGATACCAAAGGGACCGTTTTAGCATGAATGAATCTGGCTTCCTCTAAACAGGCCGTTTGCTCGCAGCTGTGCAGGAGACAGTTTGGATTGATGTTTCCCACCAAGGAGGTGATGTTTTCAGAATCAGCTTGTTTGTCTGTTTGTCAGCAGGATTTTGGGGAAAACAGCTTGAAGCGGATCAGAATCTCGGAGCGGATTCACGCATTATTTTCCCCTTTTGCTAACATTGAGGGATTTGGCCTTGGTGGAGTACTGCGTTCTCCGAGTGCCCTTCTAGTTCAATAGTGTTTGTATCGGGTGAGTCAGATATGAATGTGTAGATTTTAAGGTAATCATTTGTTCATTTTCACAAACCTCACTGTCACGGGGTCCCCAAAGTCAATTTGATTCATCCTCTGGGAATCATGACTGTGTTTACAAAAGCCCACCAATCTACTAGATGCTGAGAAATTTCACTGGATAAGTGAAATTTCGGATGTGCTGCGTACACTAAAGGAAAAGTCAGAGGCTCATCAATGTCTTCAGGATTCATCCTCTGGGTGCCATGAATATCTGTGCCAAATTTCATAGCACTCAACCTAACAGTTGGCAAGATTTTTAGGTTTGGATCAAAGCGGTGGACTACATGAGTAAATGAATAATATCAGAGCAGAACGTAGTGTGTTTTTATTTAATCATGCA